TACATGTCTGGGTTCATTTAAAAACAGTGTCTCCATTACATCATTTGTCCACCAGAGAGCACTGACACATTCATTTTTCAGCTGTCCTATTCAGTCTGAGTCACAGTCCTTTAATAACCAAATCTAAAATCATATTTGTTTGTGTTTATGTTTAAAAAAAAAAAAAACTTGCCAATACATCTTTATATTTTTTTAAAGATTCAAATATTAAAATTGTTATCAGTCTCAGAACTCTACTGGTTACTGGTACAGCTCTATTATTACCACATGCAGTTTATTCTTATGCTTGTGCTGTGATCTTTACTCCATCACAGAGAGACGATGCTCCAAGCCTTAAGGTTTGTCATCCAGGGCGCCGGATCAAAGGTGGACCCAACCATCCGCAAGAACATCACCACCACATTACTAGGCATGCTGGGACATGATGAGGTATGACAGGAGGAGCAGATGCCTTGAAGCAACAAGTAAAGCTGAGAAGACTTTTTTTTTAATCTGTTGCAACATGCCCATTTTTTTCACCTCAGGGCCTGTAATTGCTACTGAATACATAAAGTAATTACCAATGAAGTAAAGTATAAATGTTTAAACACTTGGAAGAAATCTCACAGAGAGCTGTTCAGTGGTGTAGTTTTCTGTCTGATCACAGTAGAAAAACGGAAGTGAGGCAGAGAGGATGTGGCTTTCTGAAAAGGTGGTTTTGAGCCTACATGTCAGTTTGACAATATATGACACTCAACCTGTCGCTGTCTGATTGGTGTGTCATTCTGTGTGTGTGTGTGTGTGTGTGTGTGTGTGTGTGTGTGTGTGTGTGTGTGTGTGTGTGTGTGTGTGTAGGATGCGACTCGAATGGCTTCAGCAGGCTGTGTTGGTGTGCTGTGTGCCTTCCTGTCAGAGGAGGAGCTGAAGAGTGTGTTACTTCAGCACATCTTAGGTTGGTATTTACATGCAAAATGATCATCACCTTCAGTTCTCTGAATATGATCATTAGCATGTGTGTAAGGTGTGGATTTGTCAATTTCAGTGTCCTCAGTGATCATAACTGCAGTTTATCACAGGCACTGGCTTGGTGTTCAGACTGAAACAATAACCTTTAGTGTATTTTTTGCTTGGTTTTAGCACCAATAGTATTTTTCATGTCCTTTTTATAAACATATTTGTCCAGTAGAGCTTGAGTATCCCTGTGTGTGTTGCCTAATTTTCTGCTGTTCTCTATCCATCAGTAAAACAGTGAGAGCATGAACTAAACAAATTATTTTTATTTATTTATTTTATTTTTGCCTGTAGCGGACATGTCTGGTGTGGACTGGATGGTGCGCCATGGTCGTAGCTTGGCCCTGGCCATAGCTGTCAAGTCTGCTCCTGAGAAGCTGTGTGGGAAGGAGTACTTTGATACTGTAACGGAAACCATTTTGACCAACGCCACTGCCGACAGGGTGAGGAGAAAGTTTGTGCCTGGGCCTCTGTTCTTTGACAATACATTTCTCACATCTCTTATGAACTGATACACATGGCTGCAATGAATATCCTGTGTAAGTCAACTATAAATAAATAGTTTCATACTTTAGAAAATATGGTTATTCACAAGTTCTGAGTTTATTGGGAGGTATCTGCTGTAACAATTTATGGGCTGGAGTCTCCAGAAAGTCACTGCCCCTGGCCAAGAGATATTCCAGCCCATAACCTGCCATTAAACCACAACCGATTAAACAAATGAGATGCAACGTGTTAATTAGTCAGCTTTAGAGGAGCTGGTGGGCAGTTTTTTTTACCTTTTGGACAGAGTCAGGCTAGCTGTTTCCCCTGTTTCCAGTCTTTATACTAAGCTAAGCTAACCACCTCCTGGCTGTAGCTTCATATTTTCTGTGCCAGACGTGAGTGTGGTATCAGTCCTCTGCTGCAGAAGAAAATCTGCAGATTGCTAATTATTCAGTTGAAGATTCAACAGATAATTGAAGAATGAAAGTAATCCAGTATTTATACATTTTTTCTTTCTAAACTACAAAGACTTCAAATGTATAACTACATAATTGTTGTTGAGTGATGTGACATACTTATTATAGGCTATAATTCCATGTCCTCTACTGTTCCCCTACATTGCATGTCATTCCTGTCCTCAGCTCTGCTAGTACATATTGTTTTCCCCTCCTCTTCCAGATCCCCATTGCCACCAGTGGAATCAGAGGGATGGGATTCCTGATGAGGCATAATCTCAGAACAGAGGGAGGCACCAGTATTTCCCAGCGCATCATCACGCAGTTAGTCAAGGTAAAGCAGGAACCATTTCTTTCACTGATAATCACAAAGTGTTAGGCAGTTCTGTCGCTACAAGAAGCAGCATCACTAGTTACCTACCTACTAGTTAACTACATTTCTCACTAGCATGGTGGTAATATTGCTGTTTCTTAATCAAATAGCTTTTCAATAGTGAAGCTCTTTTATTGATCAATTAGTATGTTAGCATCACACAGCACAGTGGATCTTTCTGCTGCGGATCCATACGTGACGATGTTACCATACGTGGATGCAAACATGTAGCCATAGAAGCACATCCGCATGACACACACACTTGTTTCCATATCAAATAACTGACCTAATGCCTCTTACCCTAACCCTTAAACCAAGTCTTTACCCTCTAACAGCCACTTAAACTTGTGGAGTCCAGCAGTTTGGTCCCCACAAAGCTCTTGGACCCCACAAGTATAGTGGGCTCCTGGTTTTCAGACCCCACGAATATAGTAAAACACGCTCACACACACAAACAAACATAGATTAACATTCACACTCTCTACACCTGCACATGTTTTATTGTTTGTTTTTTGTTGCTAAACTGGTTTTGGAGTATTGAGAGTAATCTCGGGTTATTGTTTAATAAACAGTTGAACTGAAAATCATTTTACCTGCGTATCTGTTTGATTGACAGTTATATTGACCACTGAGATAGCTTCTGGTGTGATAAACTGCTTTTGCCATGTTGGTGTTAGTATAGATTAGCGTACTACATTTCTCTGAAAGTAGCTTAGCTCACTACACTTTCCAGGTCACTTGTCCAACACTGTTATCACAGGCTATATTGACTTCCCTTTTCTGCCTTTACATCAATGAGGAAGTGAGTGTAGATACAACTCCAAATTAATGGTAATGATGTTAAATTAAGTCATAGGCTTAAAAGTCCAATAGTAACTTGAGGAGTGTAGAATATATTCAACTCTTGCTGTCAAATCAGAATTTAATCCACTCAAGTCCAGCTGAAGTCAAATATCAGCCATAAATTATTAATTTCACAAAGCGTTCAGTTGTATAAATAAAATGATGAGATCTAATATCAGACTGATAGATATCAGATATCAAGTAGTTATAAATAAAGTCATGAGGCTATGAATGAGTGTAACTGAATAAATGCTATGATGAGTGCCTGCTTTCACAGTGGGTAGTAGATGGAGGTTTTGTGTTATGACATCTACTGTCTGTGTGACCCCACAGTGTCTTCAGAATCAGTCCAGTGACATCAGACTGGTGTCAGAGCGGGTGCTGTGGTGGGTGTTCAAAGACCCGGCTACACCCTCAATGGAGGCCGGTCTCATCAAGCCTGTGCTGAAGAGTCTGCTGGACAACACCAAGGACAAGAACACCAGTGTCAGAGCCCAGAGCGAACACACCATCGTCAACCTGCTGCGACTCCGTGAGGGAGAGGAAACCATGCAGGTCAGACTACAGACTCTCTAGTGTAATTTACAAATGCAGATGATTTACATTAAAAATACTGTTTTTCTAATTTTTACTTTTTACTCTTGCTGCAATTCAGAGTATGACTGCCATTCTGGACTCTGCCAGTAACGACCTACTGTCAGAGTGTCACCGCCGGTCTTTGAAGAAAATTGCCAGCCTGCCAGACTCTAATGAAGAGATAGATGACACCATCCTAACGTGATGGAGCAGGACTGTGCAACGAAATGACATCTGCAGAAATCAACAGAAGCTCGACTGACATGTAGAACAAGTCTCCACTGTATGAGAACCCCAGACACTCTCGCCACACATGCCCATGTTGCCTATCATGGACCGAGGCTGAGATGGGTTGTGTTTTGACTGGTTTCCAGCATATTCCCCAACAAATTTATTTTCTTTTTTCTTTCTCACTTTGTGTAATTGTTTTATTGGCCTTTAAGTACAATTTATAACTCTCTTCTTTTATCTCACAATGTGCAGCTTATTGTGCTGTACTGAATTAAATTAGGTAGACACAAGGCCAAATCTTTTTTGATGTTTCAGTGTTTTGCTACTTATTTTATCAAAATTATTTCAAGCATTTAAGACATCACTGTAATGAAGTGACACCCCTATCTTTAACTTTTATTTGGACTTTGTGTGTGAGAGTTGTTCAGGGGCAGGGATGGGGGGGGGGGCCTCTTGTAAGAATAAAAACCATTCTTATGTCAGTGATACGGTTGTAAAAAGGCAATACAAAATAAAAAGATCTTGATTTCATAATGTGGTGTGTGAGATATTGGAAAGTTTCCTTCAGTGTGGGCTCAGGAAATCACTCACTTTACTGTAATTCCACAGGTTTTTAAGTTGTCAGTGAAAACAAGGTTGATAACAGACAAACCACATTGTAGTGTCACCATGATACAATCATCACGAGAAGTAAACCTAAACATCTGAAAGAAAATCTTCAAATTTATTTCATGTTTCTTGAACATATTAACCCTCGATGTATCCGTAATCTGATTAGTGTTAATAGAGGGATGGAGTAGATTTAGCATATTCCAGGGCTGGTAGTTATCAGTGTGTATACGGTTTAATTTATGTTGTTATAGATTATTTTTTAAAGAAATGTGAAGGAGTCTGTCATTTTGAGCCTAATGAACCCTGCTTGTAGAAGTTTCAAAGAATCAATGGGACGCTTCGGGTCCACTGCCCTCCAAGCGGCTTGAGTCTAGTGTTCATCAATGGGATGGGACGGCTAGGCTGTAGCAGGAGCTTGCGCAGTGAGGCCGGGTCAGAGTTGGGTGCAGCACCAGCAGAGGAGGAAGCGGAGTTTCCGGCTGTTTGCAGCGGAGGGAGAGGATTGCTGACGCCGCGAAACCCCGAGAAAAACGCCGCCGGCTCGGGGGCTAAGAGTTTCTAGCATCTGTAGTGGTCGTTTTCTTTCATATCGGGGGATCTGGGGGCAGGTGATTCTTTTTACGGGCCCAGGGGGTCGGACAGCAAACCGAGTAGAAGAAGCGGCACAAGGCGGGGGTGAGCCACCAGCTACCGGCATGGCCAGGGACTACGATTACCTCTTCAAGCTGCTCATCATCGGTGACAGCGGTAAGCCGACGCCGGGGATGCGGGACGGGAAGTGGGCCCTGTCTTGTTTTTTTTACAGGGAGGGAAGCCGAAATGCAGCTGTAGGTCCGACGTGAACTTGTCTGGCGCGTTTACTACTTGTTATTTATTTTATTTTATGCATCGATTCTTTTTGTGAAATGTACACATCCGCCATATTTATGTGGCTGTGACAGGGCGGAGGTTGTGTGTCCGGGCTGGGCATGTCAGCCGATCAGGCCGGATATCGCCTCCAGATCTAACCCTAACCCTCTCAAACATTTTCTAGTCCTGTGCTCATATCGGCTGAGACATTTGCTGTAGCTCCACAACAAAACACACGTTGTAACCCAGATAACTGCTCGGGGGTTCTCATACTCCTTTAATTTGGCCTCTTGTTTGTATCCCCTGTTAGCCGTGCTAGGTAGCTGGAAGTTAGGCTAACATTACACTTTGATTATCTAGCTAACTGTTTAATAACGTTTGCTGCACTGAGAAGCTATTATTTTAAGAAGCTGGGGCATTTCTACATACACTTAATGTCGCATTTCTTGATTTTGCTGCGCTTTGTTAAGTAAAGTAAGTTAGGTTAAGTTAGTGAGATGCGTTTTGTTATTTGGCTGGCTAGCATGATAGTGCTAGCTGCTTTATAGTGGAGGAATGCTGCACTGCAGGCTCTGGTTTGTATCTTTGCATCCAGCCAGTCAAAGTATAGTGAAGTGAGACTAACAAAGTGGTCAGTGTCAGCTATAGTGTAACCCAGTTAAGTGCATCTGTCTGCCAGGCTGCTGAGGTTCACACGCTACAGGCTCTGTGGTTACCTTAGCTGTGTTTAGCTTCTTTATAATGTTAAAAACCATGGCGAACAATGTTACTGCCCTAGGTAAATGCATAATGTTTAATCTGTTCAGACCTGATAAGAGTTGCTCTTCTTGTATCTCCCGGTTAACGTGAAAACATGCCTTTTTAAATGCGGCTCCACCCTCAGTAGGAGTGGAGCCTCATCCTGCAGAACCTCTTTGTGGGCAATGATCTTTGCATTCATTGACAGCCCCGATCCTGGCACTACCCCATCAGCTGGCTGCTCACAGTAGAGGGCAAGGCAGCACAGCAAGCCCTTCACTGCCCCTCACACACAGAGGCCAGTGTCCCCTCAGCTGCAGTGTGGAAATACATCTGTCTGTAGTGCTGCACCGGGATTATTTAGGAAAGATGCTCTGACCTTCTGCCCCTCCTCAGCTGCATGTGGACTGATCTGCTGCTGAGAGTCAAGACATTCATCGTACTGGATCTCGACGGCGCACTGAGGCTGAGTTTTATCACTTAGCTTGACTTGTTTGGCCTCTGGCCTGTCACAGTAGGATATGCGCATGACATATCTGTTTATAGAGAGTGGTTTGACACTAGCTCAGTTATGTAACATAAAATTCTGTCAAGCATTTCATTGTACACATAAGATGTTCACCGCCACTGCTCTACAAGACCTATGGAGTATCTTAGACGATACACAAATTCAAGGCTTCAAAGGTTGAAAATGGAAATGTTTTGTCACTGACAAATTGAGTGTTTTATCTTCTGGAGAGTTTTTGGCAAGACAAGCAGGAAGGCATGGCATATTAAAGCTTCACTAGTACAAAAAGATGATCTCTCTCCTGCTTTGAAGCTTTGGTTATTGTTTGTTTGAACAAAACTCTGTAGCGTGGAGACCACAGGAACCTGAGAGCTTTTTATGTTGGGACCAATCAAACATGAGATGACAATAACACAATAGGTAGGATAACTAACACGGCTGCAGGTTGAGTCCCACCCCAGGCCGAGCGGCACAGTCACTTCCTAACTTCCAGTTGTTACCTGACAATCTGTGAAAGACACAGCACTGATCCTGCTCATCTATCTTCCCTATCATCCTATTCTCCTTCTCCCTCTGCGTTCGCCTCTCCTTTCATCTGTTGTGTAACTTTTATTTCTTCCTCAAACCTATTTATTATGCACGATAATTTTAGGAACCCTTTCTTCCTTTTGTTGTCTTGCCTCTGTGGCTTTGACACAAGCCTTTCCAGTTGCTGTTGTTTCTTCTGCTATTGCATTGATTAAGTTTATGTCAGTACACGCATCATCAAGATGCTTGAAGTGGACATAAAGGGTGCAGCCTTGTTCACCTCAAATCCTTCATACTGAACACTGCAACAAGTACAGTGTTGCTTAATGCCTTAAAGTATTAAATCTGTAGGTACACAAGGATTACCGCAAATGTGTAGGTTGACGTCTTGTTTTTGGTTTGCAGTCATCACAAAGTGTCAGCTTTGGTAACTAGGATATGATGAGAAACTAGCACCATAAGGAAAGTTGCTCGTTTGTGGTGCACAAAACCTTTCAAAAACTCAACGCTTGTCTTCACACAATGCTCGTATTTTCTTTGAAAGCTAGAAGTCAAATATTACAAAAAAAACACATGCTTTGCTTTTTTGGAAACCTGTTGTACTCTAAACCTCATCCTGTGCTTGTGTTTCCTCCTCAGGAGTGGGGAAGAGCAGTCTCCTCCTGCGATTTGCAGACAACACATTTTCAGGTGTGTGGTTCTATTTCAGCAACTCTATCATAATTTCAACACTTTCTACTGTAATGTTGTAGGTCATTAACTTGACCTTGTTTTTGTGTGTGTGTGTTTGCAGGTAGCTATATCACCACGATTGGGGTGGACTTTAAGATCCGGACGGTGGAGATCAACGGGGAGAAGGTGAAGCTACAGATCTGGGATACAGCAGGGCAGGAGCGCTTTCGCACCATCACCTCCACGTAAGTAGATTCATACACACACACACATATAACACACACATTCTCGTGGGCATTTCATGTGAAGCGCTTCGTTTTCATTTCAACAATTGAATCTGAAACCAAGACAGGTTTTTTGCGGTCCTCAGAGTAGGTATTATTTGAGGAAGCAGTTTGTAGACAGCTAGAATAAGTCAGTGCCGTTCTGTGAAGTAGGGTGGAATTCCCCACAGATCCTAATTACAGATGTGAGAGGGAGGTTCCTGGTCTCATACTGTAGTGCTACATGACGGCGAGGGCTGGGCAGCTTTACCCTCTTATGCTTGTAGTGTGTGTCACACTTTTGTCCAGTGTGTATCGTATCCATGTGGCTCTGGCTTCACACTGATCTAGGGCAGAGCGTCCTTCTTTAAAGAGGTAACTCTGGTCCTCTTTTTTTTTTTTTTTAAATCTTTTTATTGTCAGTGATTCACCTGAATAGACTGAAATCAAAAAGTGTTGTCTGCCTGTGTAGCCGTAGCCTGATGTAGCTTATGTAGATCTCTGTTGCTGCCAAAAAATCATCAAAAGTGCATAAAGGAGCAATAGCATTACACTGGGCAGATTTTGTTTTCAATGGTTTTGGATGAGGGTGGGGTTTTGTGGAACAGAGGTATAATCTGTATCAGGATATACAGTAGATCCTCGTTCATAGGATAAATTCATTGTTTGTTTTGGTCTCTACAGGTGAATTGTTAGTGATGACGATGATAATAAAAAGTTAAACACCAGTGTTATCCTTTAAGTGCAGCACTCAGACTTGGTGGCTTTTCTCATGTAACCCACATTATTATTTTTTCATGTTGCAACACAAGAGCAAGGATTCCCACCCTCGAATCACAGATGTCGAACATGTGTTCAACACCAGACGTGAGAGCTAAATTTCACCGCCACGTCCTGTGATAGGTTTGATTTATTATCTGTTCAGTTTGGACACAGCTGAGTCACAATGCAAATCAAACACGCAGCCGCTCATTTCAACTTGAATGGGAACATTCTCCCCGTCCCGTCGGCCGAGCTTTCAAAACACACTGCACCGCTCGCCTAGACTCCTGCAGCTCACAGCACAACGCTAATGAATAAAAGTGGATTACATCACATTCATGTAAGGCTTTAATGGGTCATTGGAAGACGCAGCAGTAGTTAGCCTCCAGGTGACTGGTTTTAGATGTCTGGCCAAGAAAAGGGAGTTAATGCAAAGTGAATGTGGACTTTAGATATTACAAATTGTTTTTATAGGGGAGCGTCTCTGTCATTACCCTGTTTATAATTGACCTCTTTTCCATGTTGTCATGACTCCTCCCTCACTAATGATAATAGTTAAAATAGTAATCATACTAACAAGTTGGCTGCATGTGAGATGAATTAAAACTGTGAAGCTGTGTCTGTAAAACCAAAACAATAAGTGGAAAGTTGCTGAAAACGTACGATGAGAGAAGTTGCAGAGTAGGGTGATAGTTCTCTGTGTGTTTATCACTACAAGCAACAACGTTCACGTTACACATCGTCATTTAATCCATTGCCACATTCAAAATATTGATTATAGCAGCTTTAAAACACAACTACACCCCAGTGACTAAACTGCTTTGACATTGATTGACATAACAGATTTAGCTAAGGAAGACAAGGCATCCAAAACATTTAAAGTAAACAACATCACGGATCTGTTTGCTTCATCGTTTAGCTTGTCCCGTTTAGTTTTTTAGTTTGGAAACCCAGATTGTTGAGGCGTAGTTTGCTCCTGTTGCTGTTGGCTTTCCTCTCCACCAGAGTGTCCCTCACTGTGTCTGATGACCAATTACTCATGTGTTCATGCGTCTTGCACTAACGCCAGCTGTCACAACCGATGATTTCTCTTTCTTTAAGTGCCCAGCTGGAATATGGACTTTCCATTTCAATCACCGTGTAGTTTACATGGACAGGCTGGACATTACAGTACAGAGGTGACACTCGGTCTGTAATAAATAAAAGCGACGCATAAATGTGCTGCTGTGACTCCCACTGTATGAGGAGGCAGCGTCTGAGCAGTGCGGGCAGAAACAACATTGATGTGACCTACAGCTCAAACAGCAGTCATCTTCCCTACTCACCCCTGTCTGACTTTGACCGGAGCAGACAGAGGCTGCACTTCAGAGCTAGTAAACCATCACTGTCCAAGCCCGTGAGTTTTGTCCTGAACAAGACCAGAAGGGTGTGTTTGTAAGTTTTTATGACGTACTTGCAGCGCTGCAGCGAGGACCATCCGAACACCGAAAGCAGCCAGAAAGCTCGAAATTCTCTGCAGTGCTGACGCTTCAGCCCCTGAGGAGTATGACCGTCCTAGTTTGGAAGCGTGGCTGCCAGTTGATCTTTAGGAATCCCTCCCCCAGGCAGGCGGCCTATTTAGGCTGATTGTTCACTTTGCTGAAGTAGAGTGGCGTGGTGCCTCATTAGGTCCTTAATGAATTTCACTGTGGAGATGCATCACGGGCAGAGACCTGCTCAATCCACCCGGGCTGCCCGGGGTGATAACCATCATATGTGAGACCCTGTGGCTGTGATCCTGTGGCTGACCCACAGCTGCCGTCACCCTGAGGCCCAGATCAAGAGTCACAGTATGATGTAAATGACAGTTTTGAAGTCTTTATTTTAGTGTTGAAGTTTAAAGAAGTTCCCTTCTACTAGTGAGTTCATGCTTTTATTCTGACAGGACTTTTTCATTTGCAAAACTCGTTTTGAAATTTGGGATGCTTCCTCACCCTAATATCACTGTGATACCAAATCACCTCACAGCATTTACTCTTTTTGGGCTTTAAACAAAAGAAAAAAATAATTGTATGTATTTATTTTGTCTCCAAAATGTGGAGAAATTCGGATAAGAAGTCTGGTGTATTTACATTTTATTACCCTGTTTGTGCAGATTTTACTACAGAAAAGGTGACTGCAAGTTGGGGCCCACACAGTCCTGCTGTGTGTGTTTATAGCTCTCTATTCATGTGCACTGAGCGCACACACACACACACACACACACACACACACACACACACACACACACACACATCCACCATCCACCCCTGCTGTCTGGTGGCCCATTACTGCTGGACATTTGGGACAACACCATATCCCCACACTGTCACGCCAGGCAACAACACTGACACACACACACACATACACACACACACACACACACACACATAGTAAGCCTTTCAAAAGGGTCTTTGTGTTTGTTTGGTGCAGTGCAGCTTCACTGTGGGGATGCTCCCTTTCTGGGGCCTGGCAACTTTTTGAAGCCTGCAGGTTCACAGTTGAACTGTCGGGCTGTCACACTCTGGTTTAGTCCTCTGTGGGACAGATGAGGTCTCATTTCTGTAGACTGTCCTCCTTTATTCAGTCACATACTGTCCTATGTACTAAAGTGATGCATTATTAAAAGTAATCGTTTTAATTGACTATGCAGTTACTCTTCAGTAAAATTCATTGAGTCAGTCTGGACAATTAGATGTTCTTGTCATTGGTAAAGGGCCAGATGTTCAGACTCTCTTCAGCAATCTAAGAACTCGTTGCTCATTTGAAGTAACTGCGTCATTAGTAAAGTTTTCCTTTTACATTTTTAAGACAATTAAGTTGTGTCTCTTCATAATTGAGATTTGTCTCCCCCTGCTGACATCATCAGTAGTTACCTCAGTGGTACCCAACCTCTTTGTCAGATGAACCTCTACAGCCCTGACAGATGAACTCAAGTAACCCTTCATCCAGACCACATGTCATGTTCCAAGTGTATTCCCTGGATTCATTTTTAAGCCGATTCCACTAAACATCTGATGATATAAAAGTGGACATAATAGTGGATGATACAATAATTTCTTCATACAATTGAACCGTCAATGATGAAGTCAGTTTGGTTGAGTTTACATTTGTCTTGCTACCAGTTGCAAAACCTGGACATTTCAACTACATTTGCATCACCTGTAGCTGTCGTTCAACTTTTAGTTTACCTGTAGCTATACATCAACCCTTTATCCGTTACCTTTAATTAACTATCTATAATTTAAAAGTTGAAATAGCTCTATTTCATAGTTAAAGCTATTTCAACTGTTTTTAAAAAAACTACTGTTATCTCTTTACCTAAACTATTTATCTGTTGCATTTTGCTTGTGCAAGATAACATTCTCCTAACTAGTGTCCATTCAGTCGTAATTCCAAGTTCAGTTTTTCTCTAGATGGCACAATATGTGGATAAATGTTTCATTCAAACTGTAATGTCTGGGGCTTGATGTTAAAGGTTGACTGTGTCTCTCTCCCTCTGCATGTTCAGATACTACAGGGGAACACATGGGGTCATAGTGGTATACGACGTCACGAGTGCCGAGTCCTTTGTCAACGTTAAACGATGGTTACATGAAATCAACCAGAACTGTGACGACGTGTGCCGAATATTAGGTGAGCATTCGTCTCTCTCAGGCTCTTATCATCTTGGCTTCTTTTTGCTTAAAAACAGACTCCACTCTTCACTCTCCTGCACACCTTTATTTATTTTCAGTGGGAAACAAGAACGACGACCCCAACTCCAAGGTGGTCGAGACGACTGACGCACAGAAGTTCGCTGAGCAGATGGGAATCAACCTGTTTGAGACGAGTGCAAAAGAGAACATCAACGTTGAAGAGGTAACTCATTGTTTGTGTTGTCTCTGGCCTCGGGCTGTTTACAGACTGACGTGTTTGTGTGGCGTAGTTTCTGGGACATGCCTGGTATGCAGAGCAGCTCAACTGACGGATTGAATCAGGCAGTGTCTGAATTCTCTGTCGCACCAGATGATCAGTCAGTTGTCTCAGGGAAATAAACAGGCTGCAACTAACAATTATTTTTTATTATCAATTAATCTGCTCATTATTTTCTTGATGAATGAATAAATAAAACACGAGAAGACCATTTCTCACAATCACAATTCTCTAAATCCCAACAACAGCTGTTTCCCCCCCCCTTTTCCAGTCTTCATGCTAAGCTAAGCTAGCTGGCTGCTGTGTGTAGCTTCATGTTGAATGGACAGATGTGAGAATGGAATCAGCAAGAATAAAATGTTGAACTGTTCCTCTGATGCTGTGAAAATACCTGGTTTTGGTCCTGATTAGAAAAATCCAAACTCTGATTACAACCAACAGATTTTAACCACAGTTGGTTTTTCAGCATCGAATCAGTCTCTTCCTACGGAGTAAAAAAAAAAAACTGATCTGCACACTGCACTTCATAAACAGCCATGTTTGATGTGGCTGATCTGACTGACTGATTTGCTGTGTTCACCACACATTGTTGGTTTTGTGCTTCTCCTGCAGATGTTCAACTGCATCACAGAGCTAGTGCTAAGAGCCAAAAAGGAGGTGCTCGCCAAGCAGCAGCAGCAGCAACAGAACGACGTGGTCAAACTCACCCGGAACAGTAAACGAAAGAAAAAGTGCTGCTAGCAAACTCAAGCTATCCACACAAGGCCGGCGGCGTCTTTTCTTCACGCACACACAAACACACACAAACACACACACACGCACACACAAGTGGGACTCAGAGCGTCTAAATTAAATAGCAGATAAAGATTTAATAAATATACAGTGAAAGATAAAAAAAACGAATAAATAAATGGAGAAAAAAAATGTCCCCTTTGGACAAACTAATCAAGAAGACTTTAAAAAAAAAAAAAAAATGTACAGATTTTATCAGACGTCAGATCAAGTTTTATTTGGAATTCAGCAGATGGGCACTATTGACCTGAGGTCCTCCTTTCTTTAAGGATCTGCGAGCTGACAACTGACTGCCATAATTCTCAGATTTATATCCACATAATCCCCGTATTCTTTCATCAGTATCTCATCTCTCCTTCTCATTCCACTGCACACGGGACATTCAGAGTCGAGTCAGACTCTGCGCCTGAGGAGAAGGAGGGTCCACCAATTTTTTTTCTTTGGATCTATTTGTTTCTTTCTAGTTTTATTTTTTGGGGGGGCAGATGGGCAGGGGGGGGGGGGGGGGCTGTTTTTGGTTGGTCAGGAGGTGGTCTTTGGGATTGGCGTCTGAGTAAAGGCGGAGGTCTCGACACCTCTCTACAAGTTTCAGCATTTCAGACACCTGTGTTACCACGGCTCACGCCAACAGATCATGAACTGCTAGATTTTGTTTTATTTGACTTGATGGGGGAAAAAAAAAAAATCACATGGATGATGATGATGATGGTGAAGATGATGATGAAGATGATTGGTAGACGACCTTTAGCAACTAATCCGATGGACAGAACTGGTGACTTTCTCGTGTTTGTTTGTTTTTTTTTTTGTTAATGTTTTGCCAAGCTCCCCCCCCCCAACCCCCAGTAGTGCTGAGCCAACGATAACTGATTTTATTTTGTTCTTTTTTGTCTTTTTGTTCAAGTGCAGCAGAGCAGTTGAACCACTCCTGGAGCTCTCAGACGTTCAGGTCTGACAGCGCCGGTCACTGCAGTCTTACTATGCTTTTAAACCTTTTCCTCCACTATTTTTTTTTTTTTTTTTTTAAAGATACTGCCAATATAATAGAAAACAAATTATCAGGAGCTCAGTGGCGCCTCTCATTGGACTGTTGCCATAGTGACCCCTGGTTGGCCCAGAGGCAGGGTGAATGAGGCTCTGATTGGACCCTGTTGAGTCTCCAAGAAGCGCTAAGGGCTAAGCCCCCTCCCACCCTCCCGCTCTCTTATTCTGTATTTCTGCAGCACCGGCCTTCTTCCACCCGACACCCACATATCAGCACCTCTCACAGCGACGGACTCGCCTCCTGTACTCAGTCACTCACGCTGCACGAGGAGGCTCTTACTCTGGAAACTGGCCTCTCTTAGTCATCGCGGTGACCTCACATCCATAGCAGACTTATTGCCCTTGGTTTCTGAACATGTAACACTTTGTTTGAAGGGGTATTTAAAAGGTAATGCCTGACATGCATTTAGACTGTCAAGGATTTACTGTGTTTCCTGAATATTCTCAACAGTTAACTGATGTTAAAGTCTGATGTTATGTTTTTTTCTGCTCTTCTTTGTCACACCCCCCTACTACCTGTTCAACTGAAGTGTTACCGGATAGTGTTTTTTGGCATCCATGATGAGAGTGTGGCAGAAAGTGGGACTGTTAATGTAAGAACAAATGTGGATGAACTGCAGCACCTGGAACTCAGTGTTTTCGGGCCTGAGCTCCTCTCCCTCTCCACGTGCACCGCTAGGGTTTGTCGCAGAGGCGAAGCATCACACAATGTCTATTACTGACATCTTTTTTTCTTTACTTTGAATTGGGAGAGTAATAAATGGAGAGAGAGCCGTAGGTATTGGCTAAGATTCTGTTGGAAATGTTTCGTCTTCACCCTCTGGGCAGACTCTGGCAGGCGGTTTGGGATCCTGATAAACGTCGAGAGGTCGCTGTGACCTCCAGGGCCTAGAGATGGTATCAAATCTCACACTTTATGATTTCTATTCATCAATGTGTATGTATATATAAATATATTTGTGTGTTTATATTCAATATAGAACATACACACATAATTAGCACACCAAACTGCGCATGTGCGAAACATGCCCCGTGTGCTATGGTTGAAACACACTCGTCAGCTGTGGTTTGCTGTACACTGGAGAAAAAGAGATGTACTATTCATTTTTCCCTACATGAATTTAATCAGTAATAAACATTTTAAAAGAATAAATATTTGACACATAATGACTGATCTCATTTGTCAATGATTTGAGACTTGGTCTTAACTTCATTTTGAACCTGTCTTTTTATTTTTTTCTGTGAATAAAATTTTATGGAAGTGTGCACTGGTCTTTTGGGAAGCCTCTTATAAACTGGAAATAAACTGTTTAATTTAGTTTTATGTAGAGTATGAATCATCTTGTTTTCAGAGAGGAAGTTTCCTCCATAGCAGCAACAAGACAAAGTAACGACGTTACACTGTCTGTTTTTCATCCCTCACTATCACGAGTCTCTAACAGGGGAGTAAATGCCAACATCCTGAGCTAAATATCTTCCACATACTTGGTTTGTTGATGAATATAAACAGAGCAGGACCTTTGGATTTTACATTATCAGTATCACCGAGCGTCATTTGAATATGTTTGATATTGGCTCTTACACCAAAACCCAACTTTAAGACATAAACATACTTTATATTTCACCAAACATCCACAATGCATCAATGTTAAATAAAGACCTTAAACCCACTTGGCTCGACCAAATTAAAAAATATGGAGTCATAATCTGAACCGGCCTTTCCCCCCCAGACATTCTCTCCTATTTAACTCAGGTGTAATTGGAGACATTAATGACTGCGCTGCAGTTATTGCTGGAGCAGATTCATCAGTAACATCATCAGTTCCACCTGTGTTTCTCCTGCATTGACAAATGTCGCCTGTGGAAAAGGTGGGCACAAATAAAACAGCTAAAGGAAACATGACGTGTGTGTTCCTGATGTTAACTCATTCCCAGTAACTGTTGCCTGGCTCCTGGTGATTGATAACATTGTCATATTAACATTTCTGCCTTTAGACTCAGGTGTAAATGGTAAATATCTGCATTTATGTAGCACTTTTATCGAGGCTGCTTTTCAAGATGACAAGATGGTTAAAGCATGCTGCCATGCAAGGTGCTGGCCTGAGCAGTTCAGGGTTCAGTGTCTTCCTCAAGGACACTTGGACTTAACCCGCCAACCCTGTGATTAGTGGACGACCTGCTCTACCTCCTGAACTACAGCCGGATGTAAAGACTGAAATGTTTCCTCATTAGGATAAAAAAAAAAAAAGAAAGAATCTGACTCATGCGGACTTTCACTTCTTTCCGCCCTCAGTGCAGCAGACACGGTGTTGATGTGTGGATTCGCAGCACTAACTCTATTAGCTGGAGAGATCACTACATTTATTGCTACTGACATTCCCTTTAAAATGAATCTAAGCGTAAGTTCAATCAGGAAGACTGTCTTTATGCCTCTTTCATTCACGGTTCTCTCTCTCTCTCACCTACACTTCCTGTAATCAGCTGACTTCAGGTGTTTTCAGTAACCAATCAGATTTCAGCACGATCTCAACCAACAAATCACGTTGACTCTGCGTCAAACTGTAAAGTCTGTTCTCCCCTCTCCTGCTGTCAGCCGTCATTTCAGTGCGGATTGCTGCGGCCCTCCTCCACCCCACCCACCTCCAGTCTTCCCGGGGGGGGGGGGGACAACACAGCGCTTTGAGCTAGATGAAGCTCGTAATGTAACAGGATGTTTAACATGTAATATTTAGTTCATGTTGTGAGAAAATGTTTATTTCTTGCCCTCATTGTGTAGATACTTTAAAAGCCTTGTTGTATCCCTTCTCCCTGCTATTGATGTATTCTCTGTGGACGATGGTGTTCTCACATTTCGGCAGAAAGTGTGAAGCATCTTCAGCTCATTTCCAACACTGTGAGGACAGAACAGGAGAAAAGCATCTGTATTTCCAGGCCAAGTCAGGCGAGACAAGCAGATTGTATTTAAGTATTTATTTGTACAAAACAATCCCCCAAAATGCTAAGAAAATTGCATGATAAATATTTTGAATAGTTTGAAGCATTCTGTAACTGAAACAGTGCCGTTAGTCAGTGGTGAATGGAAGCACTCACACGGAGCACAATGAGCCCACCGAAAGCACTAAATTCCAAAATAACATCCGACTGAGTGGAGACGAGCGACAGAGAGAGCACACACACACACACACACACACACACACACACACACGCACACACAGACACACACACACATTCTCTCAGTGGTATGTCTGTCTGTCACTGCGACACACACACACTCACTCAACCCACAGCGGCAGCATCAGGATGTTTGCCACAGAAAGACGCAGCAGCAGACGGGGTCTTAAAAATGCTTTCAATTGGAAAATGGATCAGTACAGTCTACAGTGTCGGAGCGACAGTCTGGAGCAATACATACAAACAGGAAACAGAAACAGCAGTTAGGACGTAATGTGGACAGAACCCAGTGTGTTACAGTGAATTGTTTTTCCAACAAAATGTGACACAGAGAGAGACAAATTACAGTCTGGATATGGCAGGAGCGACCGGTGTTTAATCTAAGTTTGCTGCGGGCAGAGGCAGTTCCTTACCTGTCCTGTCAATCAGCCAATGGGAGGAGGGACCACTGAGTGTCAAACTACACTTATTTCAGTTTTTGATTTCACCCATTTTCACTCACTTTACAGAGACATGTTCCTGCCTGTGGGAGGAGCATGTTTCTATTTTTTTTCTGATCACATCCTTTCAGACAGGAGCAGCGAAAGAACTTTCTAATGAGGCACCCCTTTGTACAGAGTTTTTAATGGCTATATTAATGGTTTATAAATCATTAACTACGTTTTGTCATTAGATCTAACGTGACTGAATTTGGCGTCCGTCTGTGAATTCAGATCATTGCGGCAGAAACTGGACGCTCTCTTCTGGCTGCTGATGTTTTCAGGTTTAGAATCGGTGTTAGTCTCATTACATTATTGTTTTGGATTGGTCCTGGTTATTTTATGGTTTTAGATACAGAAGCTTTTAGGCTGTTAAAATTGCCACATGGGTTTAATTCTGGTAAATTCTGATTTTATGGTTATCCGACTGATCTTGCTCCTCTGTTTTTTCACTGTTAGTGCTGCCTATCTTGGCCAGGACTCTTGAAACAGTGATTTTTAATCTGTATTTTGTTTTTTTTAACCTTTATTGAGCAGGAAAATGTAACAAACACATTTTGGGTTTTCAAGTTGTGAAAATCTCTGAGGTTGGTGTTTAACCTCCTCCAGCAGGACACTCAGTTTGACTTTTTAATTCACCTCATCCAGTGAATCATTTGACCTCTCACTTCCTGGAAAAGGACGGCAAAAACCTCTTAATAAATTTACTAACTTTTACTAACTTTACTAACTTACTAACTTTTGTTGTTGGCTTATTAAGAAACTCTTGGCAAAGGTTTATTAACTACTACAGACATAATATTTAATTCCCTTTATTAATTACTATTAAAGGAATAGTTAGACATTTTGAGAAATATGCTGATTAGCTTATATATTCAAGTTAGATAAAAGATTATTTCCACTCTTATGTCTGTCCACTAAATACAAGGACAGTTTCCTTATCTTAACATTAAGACTAAAAATGTCAAACTATTAGTTAAATGACTTGACTTTATCAATAACTCAACAGCCAGAGAGATTGTTCACAACCTGTCAACCTAAAGGTTTTTATTATTAATCCTTATAAAGAAGTAGTTTTATTAACCATTAGTAAAGCCACTATTTACAACTCTGTTTATAAAGGGTGACTTATCAGAGAGTGGTATTTCTTGTGCACTCTTGGATTAAAAGTTGAGATTCACGAGTCTTCTTGTAGTTTTCACATCCTGTTGGTGAATAATTTGGACAGAACTTAAAAGGAGCTCCTGAATATCTCTTTCCAGTTGTACTGCCTGCCACACCCGAACAGTCAAATAAACATAGGTATGAGTGATCATGTCCATCTCACCAGTGTAATTCCTGCTCACTGTTAGGACACACATGAAAAAAAAAGATCCTACAAATAACAATGTACAGGTATATTTCTCTCTAAAAAAAGATTTTCATTCAAAATGTATGCATTTTCTCTTATAAATATATTGATTTCATCCAAACCTATTCGGCTGTTTATTTATTTATTTTTTTTATAAAAATCATTCTTTGGGTTGATCCTTCCCAACAACCAGCTGAAATGACAAGAAGACATCTGCATAGGTTTGCACAGCTGCATTAGACACGAGTTCAAACGCAGACAGACATGAGACATCACTGTGCCACACTGTAAGTCATTCATGCTCGGAGATTTCAGGTCAATACATACCGCTTTACCAATGGAGATACAGATATGTCGCCTAAAACGGAAGCCCGGCATCTAAGAAATCAAAGTGCCCATGAAGTATTGAAGCAATGAGAATGGAGGTAGACCTTTTCTTTTAGTGGTGAACCAAAGCAGCTCAGATGTTGCCCACTGCAGAGGAAGTTTAGAGGAGTCTCTGTACACCGACACACCGCCAACAATATGAAATTCAACAGGTTATTGTTGAGCTGGACTGACTGATTGACTTGGAGAATTGATGAGCCTTCTACATACAGTAGTTCTTCCTCCTTCTCAAGCTGATGTAAACATTTTGAAAATTTGGTCAACTAGGAAGATGATTGACATCATGAGGATGATGCTAGACAGTGTCTTTTTCTTTGAAAAAAAGGATAAATGTTTAAATGTTAAATATATAACGTGAACTGTAGAAGAACATATCACCTGGACGATAATGTCAGCCACCCACAGGTTTATTCAGATGTCAGAGGTGAACATAAAGGCCTCATAGAGTTCACTAGAGTTCACCATGGACGTGAGACAGGTCCAAATAAAAAGTGCTGGTTTTTATACATTCACTTGATGTGAGGGTCCTGTTAACTTAATCACGGTGATATGATTTTGGGGACGAACAGGAATAGAAATCTAAAGGAGAGGGGGCGGGAGAGGTGTAATGAAAAGAGTATTGGTTGCATTATGGGATATGTAGGATCCTGTGTTTTTGGAACTTGATATTGTGGATTAAAAGGCTGAACATCTTGAACTCTGCTGCTTTGAATTTGCTGCACTGATTTTTCTGGCTAATGGAACTAGCTGTAAACGCAGCATAGGCAAATTTCAACTTTTAAAATTGTTTAGCACATGCTAGCAAATAATTGTTCACAGCAGTAATTTGGAGTTTTAAGTTTTAAGAACAATATATGTGCCTCTTTAGCTGCTGAATGCTCCACTATATTCACCAGCAGGTCACTGACTTTGTGTGTCTGCTGTTTGTTGCTGCAAGGCAAACACATAGCAGGTTTATTAGAGCTGCCTGCTGCAGAAAACTGGGTTGGAGAGAGCCTGGTGAGACTGAACCATAAACAATAAAGTTGTGGCTGTAGAAAAGAAATAAAAACAAACCAAAAATCCAAAAATGAACTAAAAAAAAGGACTGTAATGCTCCGCAGAGCTAAGGCAAACTACAGAGTCTAGGAGCGATTCTCTGTGGGTTTGTCACTACCGGCGGCCCCTTTCATATTAGACATAGCTGTTTGATTCATTTTTCATATAAAAATATTGTTTAGCGCAGCTTTAATATCTCTCTTGTGAGTGAGTAAATTACTGGAGCACCGCTTTAAAAGTTTTCTTCATCTCACTGTGATTGAAGGTTTGGGGTTTGGGACATGCAATCGTGGCAAATACCCACTGTAAAATTAAAAAAAGCTGCATGGCTGTCCATAAAAAAATAAGCATTCTTTTTGTCAGTTGTTTTGTCAGATATACAGTACACCATGGTCCTGATACATAAAGCTGTTGCCTCATGTTCTGAACGTCCCCTGACAAAATGAATAAACCTGAGAGATTACGTCGGTTGGCTGCAGCTTCACCATCCTGCTCTGTCTCATCATACTCTGACGTACAGCTCTGTCCCACTGTCCTCATCTTTTCCCATGATCCTGCAATGTCCCATATACCCAACTGTCTTTCCCCAGACTCCTTGGCCTGATAACTGGGATGCATACAATAAGAGTTTGTACATGGTGTTCCCCTCTCTACAGAGTTGGCAGTGGGCTAGTAGAGATGGTCATAGGCACTACAAGGAAACCTTCCTCTTTGGAGGTAAACTTTGTGACCCTGTTCATGTTCTGTAAGACCGATAGCTTTCTATGAGAGGGGCTGAAGCCAAAGCCTCTGGGGAAGTCCTATTCTTATATTTCCATCTCTCACTGTCAGCAGTCACCAATTAATCAGTAAGGAGAAGAGTAATGGTACAGATAAAGTGCAAAATGAGCCCCCCCCCCCCAAACCTCAGTGTGCGCCACTGCCCGTCTTTGGCTGCGTTGTTGCCCCTGTACTACGATGTCACTCCCTCCTTGTCCCCCGCGTGGTCCGTCTGCCGTGCCTGGGGCCAGTCCGACAGGGCTCAGTTCTTTTTGAAAAAAGAGAAAAGTCTCTTGTCCCGGTCGGAGATGCGGTGAGCTCGTCTGGAGGACTGACCGCCGTGGGCCCTCGATGACCCTGACAGGGAGGAAGGGGCCGAGCGCCACTCGTCCTGGTGCTTGTCCATCAACTGCTGGTCAATCACTCTGTGCATATCATCCTGAAGCCAAGGACAGAGACGTGAATAAGAGAAGGACAGAAGAGACTTGTCACAGAGAGGACATGTGGCGGGGTGTTACAGGAAGTTTTGGTCTGGACTCATTGATCAGTTTATCTGTTAGTTACTGATTACACAGACATAACAACCACCTCTCACCCCTGGCAGATCACTTATTGATGCTCAGCATCTCTCACAAATGAGGCTGTATGTCAGCTCTACTTCTGAATAGCAAGTAATCCTAAAAACAGCCTGTCTGGCAGTTTTACATTATGAGACTGGTAAAATAAACACAGAAATGATCCTGACTGGATTAACCTTTTAAGGGGCCCCAAGGCAAAAATTCATTTTAAGGCCTTTTAGCCTCTGTTCCATGTGCACACTGTACAATTACTACAGTTTTCACCAGTCATTCTACCTGGCTCCAGACTTTCTGTGTGGTAATTTGATAAAACTTTTTATTTAGGAATATGTACAAAAGAAGCATAAAACTAAAACAATGAAAATATGATACCATTTAATACTGATAACAATTTGCCTCTCATGAAAATCACATTTCGGATCACCAGTGGCTGCATTCCATTAGGAGAATGGAAGAAAGAAGTTTGTGATTGACATTTCTGCCAAATCTCTCTCAGAGAAAATGGCTTCTGCCTGTGGAGGCAAAATTATTCAGTCATTAGACGAATAAATCTGAATACAAAACATAATTTTGTGTTGCATAAATAAATCTTTTCTGCTTTCCTGTCAAGTTAATCATCTTGTGACCCCTGAGATTCAATGATTCAAAGTTCTAAATTGAACCAAATACTGATGGTTCGTTTATGACAAGCTGCTCAGTACTTAATATATGAATAAACATGTTTAATCTTTTATCAATAAGTCTTCTTACTTTGAATGTCGCTCAACATAACGTAGCATAAATATTAAATATGATGATATATAATAATCAGCCATTGTATCAGCCAAGCATTAAGATGTACAGGGGCTACAGAGGTGTTTTTGATGTCTGTGAATCATCTCTGAACAGGTAAGGTGACCAGTGGACCCATCTCCTAAAACCATTCATGTAGGGAACACAGGTGTATGGAGAGAGGAGACAGGCAGGTGGAGAGAGAGGTGGTGGTTTGGATGGTTCTCTGTGATGGTTTAATGGTTTCAGAGAGAAAAGGAGCTGGGGTGGGCGTTTCTCCTGAGTCAGTTAACCGTGGCATGGAATGGCTCAGCATGGCGTAGTCGGGTTAGTGCAGGGTGATACGGCGAGATGGCGCAGCACGGGCTCACCTCTAAGGCAGGAGGGGGAGTACCACAGGGGAGAAAGGGTGGTACGGAAGCTGAGAAAGGCCACTAGATCAGAAACCACAAGAGCCAAACAGTAAAGAGCCCTGAGGAGGCAAACTGTGGGCACGGAGAAGAGAGAGGAAAGAGCTGCTAGTTAGGGATGAGGAGGGGGAGGGAGGGAACACACACACACACACAGACACACACACACACAGACACACACACACACACACACAGTGTCCGAAGGCTACATATGTAATATGTTTCCTTACTGACACCCATCCCAGCCAACCAGCTGACACACACCCTCAGAAGTTAATTGAGTGGTTTAGTGTATGTGCACAGATTCTGCAAGTGTTAAAATACGCTGACACTAATCTGAAGTGACAGGGGAGGGAAGGAACATGGACAAACTGTTCTAGCAGCTAGTGTCATTTCATTCTTATAGACATTATGTAATAGTCTACTGACTAATTTCATTGACAATAGGATTAACAAAATTCACTGTTTCTTTGTGGAGCAATCTTAAAATAGCTGCTCCAAAATACTACAGAAGGACTATTAGGCTTTTACTAGTAAATCTCTCGTGACCTTTGACCCACCTGCCAGGCCTCCAGCTGCTGCGACAGGTTGAGCTTCTGCTGGATGGCGTCCAGAAGCTGGCTATTCAGAGACATGATGTCTATTTTACACTTGGCCAGCTCCATCTCCACCGCTTTCTTTCTGCAGAAACACACACACACAGAAACTAGAGGTTTCCTACCAGCACAGAGGCCTCAGAAAAACTCCTGCACATGGTGATGGATGAAAAATGAATCTTTAAAGAAGAGTTTGACTCTTTGGGAAATTCATTCTGCCGTGAGAAGAGAATATAAACACCACTCACATGTCTGTCTGACAGTTAGCTTAGCTTAGCAAAAACACTGGAAACACAGGGAAACAGCTAGCCTGACTAGCTCCAAAGCTAAAACCAAATCCACTTACAAGCACCTCTAAAGTTCACTAACTAACAGCTTATGGCTTTAGCTTCATATTCAACAAACTCAGCAAGAAGGGAAATCAGCTGGTTTCCCAAAATATCAAATTATTCTTTTAAGCAGAATCAGAGAATGAAAATGTCTATAATCTGTATCCAACTCATCTCTGAGTTGAAATGATGTGCAGAAGGACAATTGCAATGTCAATGCAATGACAACAAAGAGTCTATCTATCTATCTATCTATCTATCTATCTATCTATCTATCTATCTATCTATCTATCTATCTATACTTGGAGGAAGAGAGTGCACCTGAAATGTTGGAAATATGCCTCATTGCACAGGAAAACTTTGTGTGCGTACAACTACAGCAAGTGCAGAGGGTCAAAGCTGAACCTAGAAGGAGACCTGTAAAACTGTGCTGAATGTTTATAAGCAGTGGGGGTAATGAATGTAATTCTCTCTGCCAAATGAGGGGGTTCATTTGACTTCAAGTGTGTTCTGTTTCATCATATGTCTTTTTAGGGATGTCACTGCGTTTCCTGATGTCAGCACCTAGCACACAGTGTTATTGTTACTACGAAAAATAACCAAGAGGTAATAAACCAGAATTGTCCTTTAATCATCTCATTGAGTCAGAGAGTTGATTAAGAAGGTTTGTTACATTATATATTATAAGGGCAGTGTATTTATCTTAGAGAACCTGGGGCCAGTTGCACAAAACACCTTAAGTTAAGGGTTTCCTTAAAGTCTGAGTTAAGGTTACCTTTAAATAAAAACACCCTTAAGACTCCTCCTTAAGGTTTCTGTGAAGTTCCTGTCAAAACCACAGGAGGATATGGCAGCGCACTCCTCTAATGTTGCTGGCTTCCTTGAAAACAGGCATAAGCTAAGGCAAGCAAATAAACGGTCTCCATGGAAACAATCACATTTTACCGCTGTAAAATCTCTTTCACTGCTGTAAATTACTCACCTTCCATAACTAAGGAAACCTTTTAAGAGATTCTGTGTAACACCCCTAAGTAACTCCCTCAGCTAAGGAGAAATTAAACCTTAAGTGTCATACTTAAGTAGAAAACTTAAGGTGTTTTGTGCAACCGGCCCCTGCTCCATTCTACATACTCTATATAGTTGTTGGTGAGAGTGATGTGTTATTAGGAGTTATAACTGCATCAGTGTAATGCAGTGTTCCTACTTGGCTATGGCGTCGTCTCTGTCTCTGATTGCACTCTGGAGCTGCTCGCTGGGTTCTCGGACTTCAGCCATCATCCTGATCCGCTGGTTCTCCTCCCGCAGAGAGCACATTTCTACAGAGAGCAGCGCCATCTGCAGGTGACATGGGAGAATACAGCAGGTCTGTGAGACACAGGCCTCATAAATTCAAGCTTGCTTCCTGCTTCAAGGTTTTACTGGCAGTGTTATACAGTGGGGGTGCTCACGCGTGAGATATTTAGTTGACCCAGTTTAGTGGGAAAAATAAGGCCTGTGTGTGTTTTGTGTAGATCATGTAAGATGGCATCTCAAACCCACAGGAAGGAGTGAGATGTCCTCACAGAAAGAAAACAAGGTTGAAGCAATGTCCTACATTACAAACAACATACATCACATTCACACAAACTGGTGAGAATCTGCAGCACAATGTTATTCTTAGAGCAATCTTTAATGCAACGTTATTCCACCAAGAAAGAGTGGATGTGATACTGAATTAATGAGGGCTGTCTGACACTTTGCTTTCCACGTGATTAGCAGCAGAGCCTCGGTGCGAACACTTTTGTCTTTTGCAAGTGTTAAAGTGTCATCAACATGTGCACAGACAGTACATGATTTACATGAGTGCGCACATGCACAGATGTCAGAGGAGTCGGTACCTGACTGTGCAGCTGCAGCAGCTCCTCGTCACTGCTGCGTGTCTTGTCCTGCTCAGCCTCGTACAGGACTCTGACCTCCCTCAGCTCTTCTCCCAGCTTCCTCACCTGCTCCTCCAGAGCCTCCTCATCACTGCGCCGCGAGCCCTGTCAACACACAGCACACACTCACTGTCTATGCACTGCTACTGCCCGTATAGTTCATTATTGCATGTCTAAAATAAGCCCACAGAGGCTGTATCCTGTTAGAGCGTTATCAAGCTAGTTGTATTTCTTGCGCAGTTTGTTTCGGCTTCGCAACCTCATTAACTTTATGAGAATAGGTATCCATCTTGGTACCACTTTATTTTATGGGTTTTATAGTTTCTACAAAGGGACAGATATGCAGTAAAGTTCCTGGAGTGGAAGTTGTGATTTTGGAGTATTTAAAAAGAGAAATTACTTGATTGCAATGTCAGCATGACAGCTGGATGTGAACTGTAACAGTCAACGTCCAGGCATTCAATTCACTTATTTTGAGAATAAACATTCCAATAGTGGGTGAAGATTTATTTTGGTTAATACACATCACTGTGGGGAGGATAAGCCACTTCAAAGAAATTCCTTTGAAAATCACCAACTTCTGATAAACTCTACACAACCATGTAACTTCATGGCTGTCATGGCCGTTCAGCTTAAGGAGGCAGGTCTAAGTTTTTGAAATCTAATGGGTTTCGAAAAAACTTTAAACTTGGGAACAAAATCCCCCTTCTGTTCTTCTCAGTGTCTAATTCTGCCGGGTAAAAACAGATAGCTGCTGATGATTAATATACACAGACGTAACTGATGACCTGAACAATGAACAATTTGTCTTGGTGTAAACATTGACTTCATGCAAAATGTCCAGAGACAAATGACAAATGAGCAGCAACAGCAGAGCAGATAGATCAGGAGGGGCAGGTGATCAGATCCTGCTTTGGCTGAGGGATTAATACGACAGTGTAAGTTCTCGATAGAGTTTGGTTTTGTTAGGAGCTTCCTGTGTCTCCATTATGTATCATTTTATTAGCTGCAAACAGAAAACAAGAAGGCAAACAGAGATAAGGCCACTACAAAACCTGTTTAGTCTGCCACAGTATACCGCTCCATTTAATTCAATTTAATAAAACAAGCTTAATTCATTAATTAAAAATATACACCCCCTAGTGACTACTATATAATTTCTTTCCTTAAAAATCTAAATAAATGACTGGAGTCTATTTGCTCTATAATAATAACAAATTACATAGAACTTCTTGAAAAATCATCTTAAAATCCCTAAAATTGGGCATTACCTCCCTTATCTTTGAGAGAAAGGATATTTTGTCAGTGCTGAGCAGCTGCCAGTGTGTTATTACCGTGGACTCGTTGCCATCCAGCAGGTTCTGTGTTAGCCTCCGTAACTCCAGCAGGCTGGTGTGGAGGCTGCCAGTAGGCACATCCTTGGCTGAGGACGTCTCCGAGGACTCGTCCATGGAAGAGTCGGTGGACAGCGCCGAGTCCGTGACGTCGTTTCCCCGGAGATGGGAGCAGAGTGAGCGGACCTCACAGTAGGCCTCCCACAGCTGAAGACGCAACTACACAGACAAGTAGGGGGGGGGGAATGTTTTAGTTACCCACCCGCCTGGTGCTCACAGCGGACTGAAACTGAGACTGAAACAAACTAAGAGTGGAGTGAATGAAACATAATCCTAAGGTCATGATAATAATAGTAATACTAACTACCTGCTCCCTCTCCTGCTCCTGCTCCTCCTGCTCCATGCTCTGTTCTATCTCACACAGCAGGCTGGACGGGTGTGGGGTGAGGCTTTGGAGGCTGTGCTCCTCTGTCAGCTCCTCCAGCTGAGCAGTCAGCTGCCTGTGAGAAACCTGAACCTCCTGGAGCTCCATTTGGCTCTGTCGCAACTGGACATGACAAAGGAGGCAAAACCGGGACTTAACGGTGCAAACTATGAATACCTGCAGAGCGCTGACAGGAGTGCTGACTATTTTAAGGACAGATTTTAGTGGGTTAAACACAAAAAAAGGGCTTTGCAGAAGGTAATGTGCAATATCTACAGAGGTAGTAGCTACCCTCAAAGACCTAAGAGTCCTTCGTGCATGTCTCCGTACCTGTAGGTCCTTCTCGTGACACTGCTTCTCCAACACCAGCGTCCTCTCTCTGAGGTCGTCCACTGTACTCTGCAGCAGCTCATTCTCTTCCAGCATTGCGTGCACCCGGCGTTCCAGCTCCATCTTCCTCTCCGACAGCATCTTAATCTAAGATGTCAAACAGCACCGGTTAGTTACCGCACCACAGAAAATAGGCATTAAGTCGAGAAACAGTGGCCTGTTAAGAATTCCTGGTTGATAGCGGACAGATGGGCAGCTATGGACCTGATTAAGGGATAAATTTTGTTGTTTTGCTGACTCTGAGGCAAGCTGGGCTCTTACACAAGATTAAAAAGTACTCCCACTGGTCTAAAGAATGTTTGTTGCCTAGCACAGGCGTAGGCGTTAGTTGCCACCCTCGTCTTCAGGAATGTTTTGGTGATATGTTTGCGTCTCCACAGAGCCTCATATCAGCTTACTACCTTACCACGGCTGTGTAACGGCCTTCAACTGAAGGCTAGCATCGCAGCAACACAACTTTTTCCTAGTGACTGTTTTTTCTTTTAAGCTGCTTGAGCAGCTTTCCCCATTAAACAAACATCAGTTCTTGTTCATTTTTATCCCTCCTGCGTTTGACCTACATCTGGTAACCTACTTCACAGCACAGGAGCTTACATGTGGATCAGTCGTTTTCACTACCATACGAGCATCTACATCGCCAAGTTCTGGATATTTTTGGGCTGCTTCAGTCTCTGTCTTTACGCAAATAGGGCAAAAAGTCATTAGTCACCAGCACATGTCATATAAAGGCAAAGCGTTAGAAAAGTGGGAGCACCGAGACATTGCAGTATCTCGGCTAAATATAGAGCTGTAGCATTTTCTCCCAATTATAGCGCAGGCTCTGCAGTCTGGGTGTTTTCTGCCTGGCTTTGAAGAGCAGCTACGGGGAAATCTCAGCTGTTGTTATGCTCTGACAGTACCTTTGTTCATAACATATCTGGCTGATATCATACATGAACACGACTGACATCACAACACATCTCATGCTCTGATTACCAAACTAGTGTTTCATGCTCAATCTTAGGAAACAGGGATTGCCATATGGGAATGTCAAACATGGATTTTTCATCCATATATAAATTCCTCTTTTGTCCTCTATTCCCAACGACAACATAAGATCCAATTTGAATCATATGTATCAACTAATTTAACTGGACAGAGTAGAAGCACTTGTAAAAATAGATAAATAATGGTGCAATCCTTGTTTCTATTATTTTACAAGCTGTTCCATGCAGCATGCAGTCTGGCCGATAGACAGACAGCGCTCGGTAACCACTCACTTCTAGCCCTTGCTGCTCCAACCGAGACGGAAGGAGGGTGAGGGAAGGAGGAATGGGTGAGGAGAGAGATAAAGATATAGATCAAAGAAAGAGAGGAGAAGGTCAAGTTTTAGAGAAAGTGCCCTGACAGATGAAACAGTTCCAGTAGCATGACAGGTGCAAGGTGAACACGGCTACCCTCTGAAAAACAGGACATTTGTTGAAAGAAGTGTTTTCCTTTAGTGGAATTTTACACTTATTATCCCCAGAAACTCCAACTTTAAAGTGAGAATATGTAACTTTTGCCAAACAGAAGCCATTGTGACCAAAGTGTTGGTAATCGCAGGATAATGGCACAGAAGTTGAATCCCTAGCGTTCTGCTGTCACCTTAGACACCCAGGCTCCTTGCTGAGAAATCAATAGCTGCAAACAAATAATCTATTTTTCCAAATAGATCTGAGCTGCACTTTTCCTTTCTGTTTAGCTTTTCGTGGGTGACTGGTCACGCTGTGTGTTCAGCTCAATCAACTGTATGTAGTCTAAAGTGATATGTAATAGAAAAGTGCTACTGATAGCGGCTCACCTCAGCCTGTAGAGTCTCTAGTCGTGTCATGTGCTGGCTCGTAGACATACTCTTCTCCCTGAAGTCGTCCCGTAATGAATGGACCTGAGTGGACAGCTGCTTCTCCACCTCTGCAGCCTGGAAACAGACAGACAGAAACAGAACACACACAAATTAGGGCTGCACAATTAATTGAAATATAATCATGATCGCGATATGGCCAAGTGTAAAATGTTGTGGTGCTAACAAAAATCACATCATCATAATTTTTTTTTCAGTGAAAATAAAACACAAAAATGACCATTCCAACTGAAATCGCAATATCGTGCAGCCCTAACGCAAATTGAATCAAAAATTTGCCTTAAATGAGTCTCTTCCTGCTTTAAAAGTATTCTACCGATTCAGCAACACTGTCAGACAGGCAGTAGGCAGTTAAAAGAATGAAAATCGATACAGCAGAGATAAGTATTTTTTTTATTCCACACTCTTCTTCTTTAGTCAAAGCCTGGCGCCTACATTACCCACAGTGCAACTTGAACACTGACAGTTCACTTGGAGATTCAAGTGTGCTATTCAATTAGCAGCTAATGTAGCTAATGTAGCCTGGAGCCACTATGAGCAGCAGGCTACAGAGTTCTGGTGAACCCACTTCTCCGGATTGTTTTCATTTCAAACTTCAGCCACAACCAATGCTGACTCCAGTGACATCACCTGAGGCAATTTATCACAATTTACTTCACACAGACCCCATACATCTTTCTTCACATATGCAGTAGACCTGTAGACAGACTTTAATGTGTTGAATCAAGTGGACCTCCCCTTTAATTATAGTTGTTGGTGATGTTGACACAACAACACATTGTTAAAGTGCTACATTAACTGCTCAGTTAGATTAGAGACATTGCACAGCAGCTCTTTAGTCTGTGTTCTCTTTCTAAGATACTGAGGTGACTCACTCACTGGAGTCTGATAGAAAGTGTAAGCACACACACACACAAACACACACACATACATGTAGAAGTGCGTAAACAAACTGATTTTCATAATGAGCTCAGTGTTATTGATGTAATGTTACTCCCCAGTCTGTTCCTGGTCATGGTGCATCTGATAGCTGTTCCTCTGAAAGCAGAATTTCACCTGAATGTCACGGCCCTTTTTAAAAGCCTTAAATAGTCCACTGCTCAGTGTTTGTGTAATCCACCACGGCAGCATACCCAGGCTTATTGGACAGGTGGGATCAGACTACACACTGCCTGGCTGGTCTTCATTAGCATAGAGCTGCTCTCAGGAAGCTACCATTCGCATTATCATCACTGCCATGGCAACAGTAGAATCCTAAAAATGACTCACTTTTATAGTGCACCGAAGAGAATAAACATGGTGTATATATAGTGTATATATCACCGAAACACTTTAACCAAGGAAGTGTTCAAATAATCAGTATATTTTTTCAGGTTTGTCTTTTAATCTCTGTGTGCTGAGTGAAAATGAAGACGACTCATTGCATGAATATGAACTGAAGCCTGCAGGTGGCACTACACGCTGCAGCAGCTTCTCAAGAAGCTCACAGAGAGATTTGAAGAGGCTCAACAACTGGTTGTGTAGATACATTAGTTTACTTCAGTTCACTGCTGTCCTCAGGTAACACTGGTTGTAGTCTGTGCCGCTGTTCTGCTGGGAGTCTCTGGAAAGGACAAGCTGCCAGGAAGACTCTGCCTCAGATGCACCGTTCTGGGGCTCCGCTCTGAGCGGTAACTAACATGATGGAAGCAAAGTAACTGCTCTGTGAGATTGTTACAGGAGGCTTGTTAAAAAACTGACTGTAAGGATGTCAAAAGGGGTTTGCACGCCCAAAGTTCTCCTCACATAAAAGCTTTTGAACACAAGGGTAGAAGTTATCTGCCCTTCTTTGATTTGATCAATTAATCATCCACCTCCTAGCATAGTGTTATTCCAGAAAGGACTGAGATGCAGGTATTATGAATTCATAGGGAAAACACAATATATGGCAATAACATAATAAAGAAATAACTTATTTTGTAAAATTACCGTAATGATGGTTAAATTATTTCCACCATGCTGGAAAATTAAACCTCTTCCCTGTACACGCATTGGACCTGGCTCCAAATAACTAATTATAATACTTCGAACAACTGAAAGATTTTAGAGTTTACAAAATCAGCACAAGTCAAAAAGTGTAAGTTTAGCTGTCAATCAAAAATATAATGAGTGTGGTTTACACTGAGTGGATGGAGAACTCATTGAGCTTGACTGATGACTGAATTGTACTAGATAGGCTTTGTAGGTTTAATGATGGTGAATCAAATGCAACAAATATGTAGACCTGACACTCAAAGCAGGTTAAACAAACGCTGAGAGACAGACATCACTGATGAACGTATCATACTCCAACACGGAAATATGTCTGTTTTCAGGAATTACCAAGCTTTCTTTAGATACTTACAATTAAACTATTTTATGAGTTGATAACTGATCTACAGATAGAAATGAATGGCTCAACTAAAATTACTGTCTAATATAACCAGAATCATATCACCCAAAGGTGATCTTAGCCTTTTACCAAACCTCTAACCCCCCACACCCCCACAAAAAGATTACAGTATTGGTATAAGTATAACTTTATAAGTTAAAGTAAAGTTTGACACAGGACAGGTTATTTTACTACGTCTCTTAGTCAGTGGGTTTTCAGCCACTTTGTCCGTGTCCAGATGTCGGTTCCTGTGTGACAGCTGCATGATGCTGTCTTCTCTGTGTGGGACACAGATGTGCAGTCAGTGGAGGTCAGTGCAGTGACAGGTCACAGTGGTGACACGACATCACCACTGGCCCAACAATCTGACACACTGAGATCATATAAAAAATAAAAAAAAACCCACAAAGTTGACTGCAGACTGTCGGATTTGCAGATCTGCGCATAAATTCCTCAGATAAACCAGATCAAGCATTATCAGCACGACAGGACGAATGGGGGCAAATCAGACTGTAGCGACAGACGCCTCAGCAGAGAGTAGGGCTCAGCAGAGACATGTCCCTTTACAGCCTCTTTACTCTCACATTTACCTGAGCAAATACTGCACATTCACTTTCCAGGAGGAGAAGAGCTGAAACTAGAAAAGTAGATATCACTCCTGCTGATTCAGCTGCAGGCGCTCTGTGGTTGCGGAGCGTGATCTGGCAGATATGACTGCAGGTGCATCGTGGGTCTTTGGTTGCACGACCTAGCATCTGTATCCTGATGCCATTCTGTAGAGCACATTCCCATGGTAACAACACATGGAGTTACAATTTGCATGTCACTCTGGTTGTCGTAGCAACCAGGGAGAAGTGGGATTGGTGGAGCTGTGACTTGTGGTCTCAGTGCTTCTGGTATTTTCCTTAGTCACTTTCACAGAGAGCGCTGCCGTGTCTAGACTTAGGGAGGGTGGGCAACCCCACTTTCAAATGGTTGCATAACAAATCTTCAGTGTGACAATACGTACCAATCACAGAGCTGATCCTGAGACAAACAGCTACAGTACCTTGGGCTGATGGGAGGCAGACGTTATGTGCTCCAGTGACTGGATGTGAGCGAAGATGATAGCTGGACAGATGCCCAGGGACTGGAGGTTGTAAAAGGAGGAGTGAAACTGAATCCTGTGCAGAGTGTGATCTGGATACACTGAGGCCACATACGACATAGGATGCTAGATTTCTGCTTTTGTCATTCAAAAATATTCACATTACACCTTGCTTGTGAAACTGTTGTAAATGGCAAGTCAAATAAATAGAATTATTCCTCCTCTATAGTCTCAAATAAACAACTTTGATGAGTCACTGGAGGCTGCAGTCAAATTTTAATTAAGTAAATTCTAGAGGTTGAGGGAAGTAGAATTGACCATGGTCATAAAGCATGTAGACACTTATGCTTGAGTCAGTGCATCCCCAGCCTTCTCTGAGCATGTGTGGTAATGTAATTAGAGGAAGGCCCCTTTCCTGCTAGTTCACTCTGATCAGATTAGGCTTGAGGAGACTGGCTGTCCTCACACTCGAGACCCACACAGACCAGCACATGCCTCCTAGGCTCAACTGCTGGATCAATGGAACCTATTTTCTCTAGGTGTATCGAATATAGTGTTTAGTTTTATCATCAGTGTTGGGAAATTCACTCGAGCATGCACACACAGGCACACACACACGCGGCACACACACACACAGACACACAGACACAGACACACACACACACACACACACACACACACACACACACACACAGAGGAGTAACCACAGGGAGTTTGTGTGCAGCCCAGGAAAAGATTTGACGACAGAGCTGGAGATTACATTTTTAGATCTTCTTTGCCCAAATATCTAAGTTACCTGCTGTTATTAATTAAGTAGAGTATGGAGTGGAGTTGTTTTGGTTTTGGACTGAATGCATATGGTAAGGCTATTAGCACGGATTATAGCCTAATCCCCTCAGCGCTGCATCTTACCCCATGACTTACATCACTTCCTATGGAGTGCCCTGCCTTCTCAAGGTCATCCCACTGCAGCCAATTGAAGGCTCTGTTAAGAACTGATTCCTGGGTTGTCAGGAGGGGGAAGGACTGCTTTTATAAATCTAATCTTTGGCTCAAAGGTTTGCCTTAGAAAGCACCCTCTAAAAAGGTGTGTAGTTATATATAGAGGTCAATATATATATATATATATATATATATATGTATATATATATATATATATATTTGAATAAATCCATGAATAAATCCATAAATAAATGAAGAAAAAAAAAATCTGTATTTCATTTAATACATGAAATCAATAAAGGTAAATCAATACACAAAAAGTGAATTAATAATGATAATTAGTAACAATGTTGGTAAGTAACAGAGAAAATGAATTACAAAGCTACACTTACTGAAAAGGTGGTTAAGAAATCACCCAAAAAGCCTTCAGTCAAATATGGAGGATGAAACATTACTTTTTTACCAATAAATTAATAATAATTAATTAATTAATGCATAATTAAATGAATTAGAAAATAAACAAATAGATGACAAATGTATTCTATTTATACATATTCACTTATTTATAGTTTCCTACATTTATGCTTTTAATTATTTCTGCATTTGTACATTCAATATGCATGTAGATATATGGAAACTATTTACTTTTGTGAAATGTGATCACTTATGTATGTCCTGATTAACTACCAACATTTATTTATTCATTCATAGATTTTCTCCATTAATTTAATCATATATTTATGATACTTTTAATTACTTAAAATATGTATTTATGTATTGGCTAATAAGTAATTTTTTGTCCTCCACAGTGTTGTAATGGCAGCCACAAATCTATTACACTTTTAATCTGCATCTCCCATTTGTTTTCCCAATTCGTTATTGTTAGCCCAGAGGCTGTGGATGTGGTTGTTCTGTCAATTAGGAGCCTGATGCTCAATAGATGTGTCTATTGTCCAGTCACCACTCTGTGAAATGTGATTTCCAGCAGGCATGCTAAAGGATGCCAATAACAAGCTCATAAGCATTTGATGGACATAGGAACGTGTCCTATTCCATAGTTCTGGACAGGGTTTACAGGACGCAACATATAGACTGATTTACATCATAATACAGTCAGATGGGTAGAGAGATGGGTATGGCAGGAGAGAATAGCTGACCTGCAGTTCACTACTGCAGGGTTTCCTCAGGACAGTTTTACATTCCCTCCATTCAATCTGAGCTGTAAACAGTTAATGTTACTTAGTCACAGCACATTGCTTAGTAATGAGTCCAGACAGAGAGAGAAAAGTACGTAAGAAAGTCATAGAGAAAAAGGATAAAGAGAGAGAAAGAGAGAGAGAGAGAGAGAGAGAGAGAGAGAGAGAGAGAGATAGGGAGAGAGTACTGTGGCTGACCTCATTTATTCTATTACCCAGCAGGTCTCCCTCTGCCTGCCCAACGCACTGAATCATGAGATCTGGATCGATGGAGTCAATTAGGTCTCATGAATTTCACTGAGTCACAAAGACCACAAGATATGCTCTCCCCCTAAACACAATACAGACCACTTCCAGTGAATATCTTTATAGATTCCCACACCCAGGTTTCAATTAAATCAAATGCAGTTCAATTATGCTAAGTGCCTGCTTTTGCTGCAATCCACAGCGACTGACCCGTCCAGGACAGTCCTTGATTGCAATGTGATGATGGTGTTGGGGCAAGATATGGCAAGAAGTTAATTTAATCTGATCAAGACAACAAGCAGAACTCGCTCTGCACAGCTGCGAGCCGGGGGTTAAAATCAGCCACATGGAGCCTTCTCCTCCCTGAGCAGCGTGCGCCCGGCAGCAGATCATATCTTCTCCCAGGAGGGGAAACAACACGCTCGAGTGTGATCGTTGCCATAGACATTAGTGCTGACGGGGTTATCAAAGCACCTGCACAACCTTTGTATATACAGCTCTGGGCATCTTGAAATGTTGTCTATGCACCCACTGCCAGCCTACCTGGCAGCTGACAACACTGTGATGCCTCTGTTTATAGCCCTTAAGTTGATATAATGGTCTTACAGGTGTTTAGACTATATATCCCTCTGACAGGGTAGGTAGCATGACGTAGTTTTGCTGTTGGTGAAACGCGAGCTCAGCCCTGTGACTTAACAGCTCTTAGCCTGACACACAGTTTAGGAAATATGATTATCAATCATTCTTATAGTTGCTGTGACATGTTACATTACTTTTTCTAGTGTGGGAATGAAGCCTCGACACAGTGTGGGCAAATAAACAAGAACGCTTTTACACTTAATACAGCAATGACATTAAATATGGATCGTCTATGTGGAAAAGTGTCCTTGTTTTGGTGTAGAATGAGCAGACTGAAGTGTTTGAGCTCCTTAGCAAAGGATTAATCAGCTGAAGCTAAACACTAGCACTCTCAGCTCCATCAATCTGCATCTACTTCCAATCTCAGTTCGACCTGATGTATATATCTTATCTATCTGTCCGTCTATCAATCTATTTTTCTACCTGTCTCATATCAGACCTTTCTGCTCTGCCAGTCATAATAACTGCACTCAAATTACCTGTCAATATGCATAGTGCTATTGCATAAGTGTGCAGTCCAATCATTCTAAATTATTCACCATTACACCCGGAAGCTCCGCTTTTATATTGATGAGTTAGCATAATTCAGGTGAAGTTAGAGAGAGACAGGCTGAATGGAGGTAGATTCCCCCCTGAGGGATGATGAATCTTCACTTGGCTGAGCCCCTTATGTCATGTCAGCCAGGCACACTTGAATTGGACTGAGTGACCCCGAGGCCCAGCCAGGGAGAAAGGCATACTATATACACGCTCACATGCACACGAACACATGCACGCACACTGGAATTTCCATGAGAAGTTTCATGGTAGGGTGGAAGGGTGTTTAAGGCAGCATTAAGACCATGTGATACACCAACTCAAAGCCCTGACTAATTAACTTTTCCATGCAGATTGACCTAGTGCATCTGAATAAGGACATTTGAAGCACACACACACACACACACACATACAAACACACACACATGACACTGCTCACCCTACTGAGTTGCTCCAGCAGTCTATGGTTCTGTTCAGAGAGCTCACTGATGGCCTTGGTCTTGTCCCTGTCAGCTTCTCTCAGCTGGACCTGGTGGCGCTCCAGCTCACCCTGCAGCTGCTGGACGTCCGTCTCCAGATCGGCCACACGACCCTCCCACTCCCCCTCTCGACTTTCCAGGCGCCGACGCAACTCATGCTTCTCCTGTTCCAAGTGCTGCATGTGAATGAGGGGAGAAAAGGAGATATGGTTAAACCCTGATTTGCTTGGATTTTATGTACAGTATTGCCCTAATTTTACAAAGCATATCCAATGAAAGCCTTGCATGTGTGACAAAGTCAGAGACTTCACACAGATGCTGGTTCTTCAACAGACTGAGAAAGTTGTACTCAATCCTTGGAAATATTTCAGTGAAGGAAAAAAAAGTGCAGGATGGCAAACTGATCCCCTCACTAAACATGACTCTACAACAATAAAGGCAAATTCAAGTTTTTTCTTAAGCTCAAGTTGTCCTGCAAAAGTCAGACACGTTTTCATTCTGTGCTATAACTGTAGATTTAACATTAACATGAAAACATATGAATACAGTTTGACTATTGCACCACACACCAGAAACTGAACTTTTGTTAAACTTAAACAAGACATAAAAAAGTTCAAAAGAGTGACAATAACTGCAACTGTGATATACAATGAAAACAACTGTCTCCTGTGTCCCTGGCCCCTAGAGTGACAGCTCAGATAATATGATGCTTCTTTCTATTCTCTAGATGGCAATGAACGGTGAACAGATGCACTGCACCACCAGCGACTGCCAGAGTTTGGATGGGAGTTGATATTATGTTAAGTCCAAGGCTGAAGCAGCTGGCATCTGTGTGGCCACTGTTTTCATCTCTGGGTATGAGCCCAAACAAAAGGAGGGATCAAAGAGATTCAAAACAAGACCACAAAACAGCATCATCAGGAACTGTAACAACATGAATAATAAGAAGAGTTTGATATTAAGAGGCAGCTTATTTCTCTGAGCTGCAACATGGGGATGAATATGGATCAAAGAGCTGAACAGATGTACAGTAGATACAGTAGGCCCTGGACAGCCACAGGATTAGTCTTTGTGGTTCCTCACGCCACGTGTTGGATTGTGTGAAGGATTTTTAAAACAACAAAAACAACAGCTCAACTGTACAGCATTCACTGTAAACATGATGTGTGGGATAACTCCCAGACTGTGCTACACCTTTTGTTAGCTTGGCCTGACACTGTCTTTCAGATCAGAGTTACCAGCACGTTTCAATTTACTCTAAGTAGCTAGTTTCCAGCTTATAGCACATACGTTACCATAAAAATGAATCATGCTACATGAAACCCCTTCTCTCTGTTAGCTTGAAAGTAAAGCTCCACAGTTTGTTTACATCGCGAAGGCCTAAACTTGGATGTAGGATTATGGCATTTTGATGACAAACCAGAGCGAGGCTTAAGGCAGCATTAAAACTTGAGCAAATTATTATTTTCTTTTCAAAGTTTACCTCTAATTTCTCGTTGAGATCTTTGTGCATTTTCTCATATTGCTTGGTCAAGTCTTGGTTTCTTTCCAGCAACGCTTTGCCAAGTTTAGCAGCTAAAACCAAGTCTTTTTCCTTTTGACGGAAGAGCGACAGTAAGTCTGCGTTATGCCCCACCGCAGGCGTTTCTAGGTCCGACAGCTCCTCCTCGTCCTCCCGCTCCCCGGTAAGCATGGCCAGTTCCTCCTCCAAGGCCATACCGAGGCCTCCAGAGCCGGCGTGCCGCAGCGGATGACCCTGAAAGCCGCCAGGCTCATGGGCGGAGGGGCTGGCCCGGGACTCCATGCAGTCGCTGTCCAGTTCCAGTGGTGCTGAAACCACGGCAGACGTCTGCAGGTCTAGGCAGAAAGCGGACATCGCCGCCCGGCGGACGAGAAGCCAACGGATGAGAGCCGACTGATTTCACTCCGGATGAACCCACCCTGCTCTGACTGGGTTGGGCTGACCGGACTGGCTTGTTATCGACAATCCATCCATCATTCTCCAAATTCAGAGCTGGATCCAGTTAGATTGCAAACTGCTCTCTCTCCAGTTTCCTCACGTCCCTCTCTCCTTGTAAACCTACCTAGTCGCGACTCTGACTCTGATTGAATCCCAGCAAACACCGCCTCGTCTGCAGCTCACTGACTGACTATATTAGTGGAGACACAAAATGTTCTTATCCCGGTATAAACCGCCTCGATGAGCTCTGCGCAGCGTTCGGTCGGTCAGGGTCCACGCCGTCTCGGGGTCCTGGGTCCCCCATAATGATCGGCCTTTTACACCGGAGGCATTTGCCAGTCAAACAGATGAGCGCGATCCCGATGCCTTCTCAACCTCTTTCCCTTCTTGAATGCGCGTTCCCGCCACGGTAGTGACGCCAGCTGCAATCTGTTACAAACGGCCAGCCCATTGGCTTAAAACGATAGCGCCATATTTTGGTGGTTCACATCTGTGACAACCAGTAAATGAGCACGTGAAGAGATAAAATAGGAACAGACTGCTGCTTAAATGATGCAGTGTCCGTCGTTACAAACGGTAATGCAGGAAAAACCTTTGTTAAAACCCATGAATTTGCATTTACTACAAACCGGTGCTTAAAAATTAAAAAAGATGTGATGATGGATGTAATTTGTATGTTTTGATATATTACTATGATATTAAATAATAACCTGTAAGAGGAAAAACTACTCCCCCTATATTAATGTTACCCTAACTTTACTCATGAAAAATAGATCATTTGAGTAGATTTAGTTGTCAGATTTCCATAACACTTTTTTCCATATCCCTGACAAATGACCACGGCTGTTTTGATAAACACAGTTATCGCGATGCTTTAATCGTGTTCAGTTTTTACACAATGCGCCACCAACTGCCACCTTTTGTGCCTACAAGCACAAGTCAACTTTTACTCAGTATATTCCATATTCTATTCTATATGTGTTTTGTTTTGCGTGTATTTTTGCACAGATATGTTATGTATGTATTTCATGACAGAATCAAATTAGATCAAATATTTAAAATTGTTTAAAACAAGTGTAATGGGAAGTGAATTATAGCTATTTGTATCCATGGCAACTGTATACATGATTCCATAAAGTAAAATGTCACACTGGCTGCAACAGTTATTCCTATGAAATTCTACCAGCACCATGGCTATCATTTATTTTAAAGGCATTTTCCTCAAGTTGTCTCTTTCCAAATATTTAGGTGGAAGCATCTAGTCCCAAGAAGCTAAATCATGAAATTAGGGACACTGATCAAAATTGCCTTTCTGCAAGCTGCACCTCACTCATGAATCAGATGTATAAATCCTTTCTAGTTCTTTCTGAATTGGGTGTCAAAATGTTGCTAATTCATGTGTGTATGGGTATAATTTTTCACATACGGAAAACTCCTTGCTAACTACTTTAAGAGGCTAATTTAGCCTGAGGGCATGACTTAAGACTTAAGATTTGTATTAGGGTAAACTAGTATTAGGTTTAGGTTAGCAAAAGTAGAGGTTAAAGGTTAAAAAATGTATGTACTCAGGAAAGGCCCTCACAGTTACAGTTATATGTGTGTATCTGTGTGTATGGGTGGGGAATGAAGGGGTAGAGATGAGGTTAGGATAGTGGGGGCGGGGCAGTGGTGATGAATGATTAGAAACAAAGCCTCTTGAGCTGATAAAGTGAAGGCACAAAAGAAGTGGGTCACAGCCTGCTGGTCCACTGTTGCCTAGCTTCAGAGACTGAGGGGGCCACATGCTAGATAATGGGTGATTTCCTCAGAGCACATCAAAACCTCACTGCTTTGATAAACCGCTAAGCTGAATGAATTTATCAGCCCACATTATCCTTATTAGTGTAATGCTCCTGGTGTTTAGTTGATGGCAGATTCAATAAAAACACAACAACCTTTGTGCTTTAAAAAGAGTTAACACTGTATTATGACCTGATCAGGCAGTGCAGTGTGTCGTTTTTACATTTATCATTATAGTTTTTAGAACAAACAATATTTATGATAACACAGCAGAACTAAAGATTGAACCATGGTGAAAAACAATAAAAACATCATCAGAGAGCACTGCAAAATGCGACATTGCATAACTTTTTTGTAGATAATTTTTGTCATCATAGGAGAAGAATCTAACAATTGCATGGAGCTTAATGTCAGGAGTTATACTTAAATAAACATAAGTCTGGCGTATTTAATCATCACACTGAAGTTCCTCTTTGGATGGAGATAAACATTACACTCATTATTCCTCTTTATTACAGACTCTGGCTCCCTCTGTGGAAAAAAAAAGGATATTACACTCACAAAACCCAAAATGATTAGTAAACAATCAGCAGTCTACTTACACAGCACAGCTTTAAAAAACCATACCAATGAGATTGAGTCATAATGATCAATGCTATAAAATTATTGATTTTATGAATGATTGCCAATTATTTTGGGTATAAGGTTTGTTTTGTTAAGTAGAGATCATGGTAGGCAGTCATCGTTGTAATACAGTCTACATAGCTCCAGTGTGTACAGCCAAAGATAATTTTCCCTTTAGAGAACTTGAATAGCCTTATGTCTTTGATGGATTGTCAGCTACATCAAAAGCATTGTTTGTATGACAGCTTTTCTTTATCCCCTTTCTACATTGTTTTATGGCAGTCATGTGATTTACCAAATGAGTAAGAAACCTTAAATTCCCTCAAATTAGCTCCTGACACTTTACACTGACTGACGTGACACTTTACAGTCAGTATCTAGAGCAACATCTTCCTAGTACTGAGTGTTCTGTGCTTATGTAACATCAACTCTTAGTCATCCAGGCCTGACTCTGCCTTTTTTAACTAATGCAAGGTTTGGCTGCCTGTTATGTAACAAAACCAGGCTCTTCAAACCTCTAGATTGCAGTATTTGTATCTGATAGCCCTAACCTAATATCAACATGACAGAACACACAAAATGTAGAAATGATTTCAATGTTTTGCCAGTGGATGGCAGTGTTTTTACATGGGTACTTCTGGAATATAATTGGAAAGCTTGTGGCAACATGCTGAAGAGGTACCTCTTTGATCATTTCCCAATGTTGATAGTTTTTGCCATTGCTATAATGTTTGGCATCCACTTTATTTTTAAAAATAGTATTTAGTATTATTTTGCAGGGAAAAAAAAACTTAACAAAAATTAACAGTACTGTGTACACTGAGGAAAGATTTGAATTGTCAACAACAGAATGTGAAGTGGCTGTAATACTTGTTATAGTACAATACAGTGAAAACACCTCGTCAAAAAGGGTTGGATTTTTCCGTCTTTACTTCAGAATTAAGATGGGATTGGCCTTAGAGACATACAATACCTTGTTGCTAGGTAACATCAGTATGATGCCTCTGCCTCAACCCAATACTCCAAATCACTGTGGAAATGCAACCCTTTTTCATACTGATGTAAGCAAATCATAATCACTAAGATATTACATTAAATATAAACAGTTTTGTCATCAAATTCATTTTGTTGTGACTTATCAATATTAAGTATATTTAATGTGACAGAGGAGAATATATCTGGGTGTTTAAAAGATTATTTTCTATCTTAGGAGGAGTGGAGGAGGAATGGCAGATCTGTTTTTACTTTTGAATTTACTGTAAATACTCAGTTATGTTGTTTACCACAACAAGTTGTACAGTAGCTGTGAAGAAGAAGTGTCAGGCTGAGCGCAGTCGCATACCTCTAACAACATGTTGTATTATGTAATGGTATAAGCTAAAAGTAGGTTCTATTTATAAATCATTACACGTTTTTCTCAAAGATATTCAAGGATTGAAAAGAGATGTTCTCTCTGAATTCTGTGCTTCTCCGTATACGCAGATATTTGGTTACATTAGTGTACCTTTGAAAGGCTTTCAGCAGAAACACTGTGTGTGGCAGGTTATGACCTCATCCTGGGTCAGCGTAGGGAAATTATTAATTGAGGGCTCTTCCTGGATGCGCGCTTGTCCAGACACAGATTTCTCTTCAGATTGCAGTAACCGATCTGCTTGGCTGAATCTAAGAGGTCTGAAGCAGCTGAGCTCAGAAATGTCACTGACGCATTGGATTAAATCAGTTCCTGACAGTAGCGAGGATGTGTAGAGATGGAGGTGAGATAGTGGAGGTGTGATCTGACTCCAAGCCAGTGTAGCGGGTAAGCTGACCTGCCCTTAGGTACAAAAACATTCCTTTGTTATACAGCTAAGCCAAGGCTTTCACTCTGCCACTGATTACTGTAACTCTCATTGATGCTTTCACCTTCTGAGCATTTTGTCCCTTCTGTTGTGCTGCTGTAGTAATGCTTGCCAGGTTAGGTTCTGCCATCTGTTACTGTGTGTGTAATCTGTCACTGTGTGTGTGTGTGTGTGTGTGTGTGTGTGCGTGTGTGTGTGTGTGCGTGTGTGTGTGTGTGCGTGTGTGTGTGTGTGCGTGTGTGTGTGTGTGCGTGTGTGTGTGTGTGCGTGTGTGTGTGTGTGCGTGTGTGTGTGTGTGCGTGTGTGTGTGTGTGCGTGTGTGTGTGTGTGCGTGTGTGTGTGTGTGCGTGTGTGTGTGTGTGCGTGTGTGTGTGTGTGCGTGTGTGTGTGTGTGTGTGTGTGTGCGTGTGTAGTTTGCAAGTCAATACACAGTGACGTGTCACTTGGCTTACATTAACATAAAAACAAGTAAATTGAGGTGAGCCTGAACTACTATGTTAGACACTAGGGACCTTGTTAGGTTGTGACATGACACAGTGTATTACTGTTTACTCTGGTTCAATGATACTTCTCAATATGCTTTTTTACATTGTTATATACATACATTCTGTTACAGTACTTTTAATTAACTATGTTACATGTATAGTAAATCAGCAATGCACTGTTCGTGCTTTG